GACGATGTGAAAGCGGTGCAAATATGATTTGTGATAACCGTGATTGGTTAACACTTGGGTCATAGCAAAATTTGGCCGAACGGTCTTAGTCGCAAGCTGTTATATGTAGGCAGAAGGGATCATGTAAGTAGCACAGATAAAATCTACTTGTACTACGAGTATTTCAAATAACCGGGTGCGGGCACATTGAAGAGCGTATGTGACTCTAGATAGAGACATTTATACTCAATTGGGGTTTCGCGTGCCACCAACCAATTTTAATTTGAGAATTGCACTGAAATACACGACTTGGTTTAGGTACGTAGACGGCATCATTAGCAAATGCATCAGCTATAACGTCGTTGCAGCTTTATAGCTTGAGGTACTTTATTTTTAATCAAGTTTGTCAGTATTTAAAACTTTTAAATAGTTGTTCCAATACAAATATTCTGAATAACACCTACAGATTACAGATGTAAACATTATTGACTCACCGTTGAGTGGCAGTTCACTGTAGTGGATTTGAATGAATCTACGAATGATGATATTTATGAAGATTTTTTTTACATTCTGTGCCCACATGTTAAGAGTTGCGGTAAAGATTAATGTATGGATTGTTATTATTGTGCCTAAATACTATTGTAACTGTCTTGTTTTGTGAGCCATAAATATATAAATAAAATATCCGTGAATATAGTTATGAACAGTCTGTTCACAGCCAAAGTATCTGCAAACAAATTTCTTGCGCAAATAATAAAGAAATAGGGAAAATAGGGTTGTGTATGACATTTTCATAATTTTAATTTTGTTGTAGCACGACTACTTATTAGTTAACAAAAAAAAGTAATAAATCAGTTAAGCCCAGGTAGCTCTTTAAATTGTTAATAATATGGAAAGTTTTCAATCATCACTGCTCTCTTTTTTGAGATATTACATAACTATCAGCTCGTTTTCATCCTTTCATCCATTCATCATACTCATCATCATATTCTCTTCATTTATTTAAATGCGCCAATTATCGCTACACTATTTTTTGAGATAACACATCTGTATCAGCTTGTTCTGTTCATCTCGAATTCAAATGTATAACTCAATTGTGATTTCCCTAAACGGAATGAAAATGGTATTTTGTTGCAACCCTACCAGAACACAATTTATGCGCGCTAACGGAGCGGCGTTCGCGAGTGGACGAATTTTAGGGGAGCAAAATGACAGACACGGCAAATGAATGCCCCGAGTGATTTAGGGGCAGCCCTAACAGTTTGCTTTTGGAATACGTTAGCACTAGAATATTTTATCATTTAAACCTGTCAGTTTTAATGAAATGACGAATTTAAAGCGATTTGACAGTAGCTGTTATTCAAACGGTTGAGTCTTGTCTAAAAGGTAATTTAGACGATCGTTTGCTAAGCTTTTGAAATATTACGGAAATTAATTCTAAAAAGGTGTAAAGCAGGTATTTAAAATTAATTCACTAGCGTGAATGTCGATCATTTAAAGCTTCCGGCGACTGGGACCGCAATTAACTAGGACCGCGGTCCCAGTCGCCGGATCCGTAATTTGAGAATATTGCACCTGAGCAACAACAGCTATGCTTTTTGTTTTTTACTATTGTAAGAATCTGCAGAAGAAGAAAGGCATCTGCCTTCGCAGATTGTTTGGCACAGTAAAAGGCTGCCGAGCTTTATCTTTAATTTGAATCTTTGTTTTATTTGTTGTAAGACAAAACCGAGACTGAGATTATGATCAGAGTGGGTGGATAATATATTCTTATCCAAATGAGAAAGAACTTGTATAATATGATGTAGGTATTTTCGGTCCGGTACTCAATAGGGCATATAAAGGCGTAGTATAAAATGATTCTTTCCATATTCATAGGTCATTTGTAAAAGAGAATTTTGTCTTCTTTTTTTTACGGCCTAATTGGTTTCTGTTGTAATTTCGTGCAAGACAAACTCGCTGGCAGATCAAAGGTTCCCTTTGCTTATGCTGTTAAAAACTACACAAAGTAAAAAGTCATTTTGGGATCCCCTGAGGCAATAAAAGTGAAATTTTATAAATACTAGCTTTTGTCCGCGGCTTCACCCGCCTGAAAATCAGTTTGTGACAAATCATCATAAATTAAAGCCTATGTTATTCTATAACAATAATACTGTAAAGTTTCATCAAAATCCGTTCAGCAGATTTTTGCGTGAAAGAGTTAACTGACATCCACATCCGGGAACGGGAAGTAGCGGGAAAATCCTTTTGTATGAAAAATATAAACCGCTTAAGTTAGACGCTTGAAATTAGGCATGCAGGTACCTTAGTAAACTTAAAGCTTAGTTACAACAGATTATTGCAAAATTCCCACGGGAACGGGAGTTAGCGGGAAAAAACATTTGTGTGAAAAAAATCTAAACCGCGTAAGATAGATCAACGCATAGCCTAAACGGCTAAACGTAGGCACTTGAAATTTGGAGGGGACGTAGCTTAGGTACCGTAGAGGTGCACTAAGAAAGGAATTACCGAAATTCCCACAGAAACGGAAATTAGCGGGAAAATCCTTTTGTATGAAAAATCTAAACCGCTTAAGTTAGACGCTTGATATTAGGCATGCAGGTACCTTAGTAAACTTAAAGCTTAGTTACAACAGATTATTGCAAAATTCCCACGGGAACGGGAGTTAGCGGGAAAAAACATTTGTATGAAAAAAATCTAAACCGCGTAAGATAGATCAACGCATAGCCTAAACGGCTAAACGCAGGCACTTGAAATTTGGAGGGGACGTAGCTTAGGTACCGTAAAGGTGCACTAAGAAAGGAATTACCGAAATTCCCACAGAAACGGAAATTAGCGGGAAAATCCTTTTGTATGAAAAATCTAAACCGCTTAAGTTAGACGCTTGATATTAGGCATGCAGGTACCTTAGTAAACTTTAAGCTTAGTTACAACAGATTATTGCAAAATTCCCACGGGAACGGGAGTTAGCGGGAAAAAACATTTGTATGAAAAAAATCTAAACCGCGTAAGATAGATCAACGCATAGCCTAAACGGCTAAACGCAGGCACTTGAAAAGTGGAGGGGACGGAGCTTAGGTACCGTAGAGGTGCACTAAGAAAGGAATTACCGAAATTCCCACAGAAACGGAAATTAGCGGGAAAATCCTTTTGTATGAAAAATCTAAACCGCTTAAGTTAGACGCTTGATATTAGGCATGCAGGTACCTTAGTAAACTTTAAGCTTAGTTACAACAGATTATTGCAAAATTCCCACGGGAACGGGAGTTAGCGGGAAAAAACATTTGTATGAAAAAAATCTAAACCGCGTAAGATAGATCAACGCATAGCCTAAACGGCTAAACGCAGGCACTTGAAATTTGGAGGGGACGTAGCTTAGGTACCGTAAAGGTGCACTAAGAAAGGAATTCCCGAAATTCCCACAGAAACGGAAATTAGCGGGAAAATCCTTTTGTATGAAAAATCTAAACCGCTTAAGTTAGACGCTTGAAATTTGGCATGCAAGTACCTTAGTAAACTTAAAGCTTAGTTACAACAGGCTATTGCAAAATTCTCACGGGAACGGAAGTTAGCGGGAAAAAACATTTGTATGAAAAAATCTAAACCGCGTAAGATAGATGAAGGGGGTAAAACGGGATCCACGCGTACGAAGTCGCGGGCGGCCGCTAGTTAAATTATGAGAAACTAAGTTAATTAAGCTACTTAAGTTAACACAAAAAGAAATATTGCATAATATTATCCACTCTTTATAGAGTGCACTAAGAAAGAAACTTTGTTTAAAGGATTTTCTTTTTTACTTTCAACGGCGATCCTTAAGAGATAGGCTAAAGAAAGAAGCCTCAAACGATCCTCTGTTATAACTTAATCCTTTTCTAATTGGGCTTAAAGAATGCAGAATAAAAAGGTTCTTAAGTATTTTTATAAAAAGGTAGACAAAGCCCGCGGCCCCATCTGACTTTTTTTGCACTTTATGCTTCTATTGTATGGCTTACACCGATATACACTGAAAAGTTACTTGGTTCGATAGTCTGTAACAATGTAAGGACCATGTCCGATTACACGTGTTAATACTGAACTCTATGGACTTTAATACAACCAGGACAGAGCTTTTTTGCAATAAACACATAATTATTTAAATGTTAAAGTTTCATACGTTGCGTTGTTAGTTTCGCATTAGTTTTTCTATTTCGTATTAGATTGACACAATGTGATGCCACATGGTAAGTTCTTTAGATATAAGTGTATTTTCAGGGCACTTATTACGCATCTACATACAGCTATATAACTTGCTCAGGTCTTTGACAGTCTTTTGTTGATTACAGGAGAAAATGTCTTGGTTTCGGAGGCCTAGAGATATTGCACTGACAAAAACTATAGTCAAAAGTATTTTTTCCGATTAAACGTCATAGCAGACTTGTCAACTCGGAAAGGAATCGACAGGCCGGGTTCCCACTATGCCGGACCGGCATTTCTGCCGGAAACCGAACACCGGACAAGGGTGTTCACATTACACCGGATTCACCGGATCAGAAATCCGAGCCGAATGAAGTGCGGGAAGCACGCCACGGGCGCGGCGGGGTGGGCCGCAACTCGTTCACATTACTCCGGTCCGGTGATTTTGCCGGCATTTTGTAGCGACAAAACGCTCGGTAAAAATGCCGGACTCGGCGAAAATGCCGGATCCGGGATAATGTGAACAGCTTCATACAATTTGTACCGCCGCTATTTTACCGCACCTGCAAAAATGCCGGTCCGGCATAGTGGAAACCAGGCCACACCGTATCGCTAGCTGTCATTGCCTTCCGCGCGCTATCATCGCCTTTCGCGCGCTATCATCGCCATTTGCGCGCTATCAACTGCGACGCTAGGCATTTACGTTAAGGTGCGGATAAGTCTGCGTTGCAGTTGCAGTATGGAGTTTCATACAAATAATACTGACCGCCTCGAGTTGATACGGTTACGATCCCTTTGCGGGTTGATAAGTGTGCTACGTCCTTTTATGTAAAAACTACGGTACTTACATTGAGATTGAAAAATCTGTGGGATCCGCAGAGGTTGCGAAATGGTGGAGGCATGTTGTCAACGCACTGAACTATGCAGTCGGAGTCATCCTCCTCCTCGTCCTCATCGCCAGGTCCGCTGCCGCCCTCCACACCCTCTGTAACAAGAGAAACATTCGTCAATAACATAGTTTAAAAAAATTTGTACTCGTAAGTATCATTTACATATGTCGCACACGTGTTACCAAACTAATGATTTTGGTTCGATCCCTATTGACCATTAGACTATGGTGGTTGACCCTTTTGTAACACAACGGGATTCCCACCTCCCATTTCCACCGCTGCAATTCCTGTGTAGCCAGAATCTACAGCTTGATCGCCAATAAAAACCCAACCAGAGAAGGTCAAGTTTGTCCCGGGGGGAAGTTAAACTGCCATTGGATCCGCAACTAAATTAATCAGAAGATAGGAGGAGTTCGAAGTTATGGTTCGACTTTCCTCCATTGCAAAGCTGATTACAGGTGACAAACAAAGGTATAACACAAGATAAGTATCATTTTTCGTAGCGAATTTTTAGCCAACTTAGAAAAAACTTCATCTGTGTCAACTTGGGATCGAGTCTGGGATATACTATGTTCAAGCTAATACTGCGCCGGTTCAGGCTACAGATAAATATACGATCAGAAAGCTCTGAGCAGTTCATAAAATCTTCTAACAGCTAACGTAATAAAAAAATCTAGGTGCAGTCAATACTTTTTGTTATGTATTGTCATAACGATTCGAAACTACACTAGTCATATGCTGTCAATATAAGATAGGCTACATAAAAACTTCTTGTCTGCTTTCACCACCAATACCTAATTTTTGAGTGACCCTTATGTTAACAAAATACCTGTTATGTTTTACCATAGGGTTCACTTAAAAATTAGGGATTGATGGTGAAAACGGGCATAAGTCGTTTTGAGTTAAGCGCTTATGAGATGATTATGTTATACGTAAGCATCTTAGGGAGATCGAGCAAGAAATTAGGCGGTGAGCGAGACGAATGGAGGTCGTCAACGGAGCTTAGTGGATTAACTAACTAATGTAGCAAATAGCAATTGCCAGGACTCTTAGTTGGAACATTCTATGGCCGTCTACATATGTCGCCAAATGCGTTTCTATAGAAGGCTCGAATAGGTTGGATACCCGTCAACTGAGATACTAGGTACTTTTTATATCAAAACGTTACTATAGACTTTGTATGGACTACAAGTCATCAGGTTGCGAAAGCAATGAGGGTTTACTTGACTTATGGTCCTATGTCCCCTAGATGGGGCAGAGGGCGTCCACAACAGTCCTCCATCTCGTTCGGTCTTGAGCTTCTCGCTTGATCTCGCTCCAGGTCTTGCCGATCTTCTTCGTCTCGTCCGCTACAGTGCGCCGCCAAGTTTGCCTGGGTCGACCACGTTTGCGTTTTCTTTGGGGATTCCAATCCAGAGCTTGCTTAGGGATGTGATCAGGGTCCCTTCGGAGAGTATGGCCAATCCAGTTCCACTTGCGGCGCTTGATCTGCTGGTCGATCGGAATTTCGTGGCAGCGTTCCAATATAGCTCGACGTTGGAGATTTTCTCGGGCCAGTATATGCCGAGAATTCGGCGAAGGCAGCGGTTGATGAAGACCTGCAGCTGGTGCGAGATAACCTTGGTGACCTTTCACGTTTCACACCCATAGAGCAGAACGGATTTAACGTTGGACCCGAATATTTTTATCTTGACCCTTCGGATCAATTTTAATAATGAGGGTTTACGCGAGGTCCAAATGCTGCATGATTGGTTATTTTTGACATGACATTGACAGATATGTCAAAATCCACCAATCATGCAGCATTTGGACCTCCCGTCTACGTATTGCCATCTGGCGGATTTTTCAATCGCGAAAACCCTCATTGGTTGACTTCATTTTCGTTGCGAAAACAATGGGGATGTTGCCTGGGTCAAAAAGCAAGAGTTTTAATTAGTCCGTCAGTTAACTTATCAAAAAATACTCCACACGTATTTTTCACTTTTTCAAACTAATGAAAATTTAAAGAGATAAAGCGCCCCAAAGTTCATAAGAAGAGGCCCGTGACGTCAACGCTTGCTTAAAAATGCCGCACGTTGTGACGTCGTGCGCAACTTCAACGCACCATAACTATGTAATTATTTGTTAGATTGACAAATAAAAATATATGTGTCCAATATTTTTTGATATTAAACATTACGGACTAAAAAAATTTTTTTAGTCAACTAGCCTATTGGTTGGTAGGCCATGTTTCTGAGCAAAAAAAAAAATTTGAATTTCAAAGCTACAATAAATCGAATTTAACAGCCGATTAAAAACTCTTTGTTTTTAATTAAGTTTCTACTAGGAATTATTAGATAAATTAGTGTTAATACGAGCGGCGAGGCGGGCTCTCTCCGCGCCTAAGCGCGCCGCCCGCCATCGCGGCAAGCCAGGGGCGAACACTTTTTAATAAAATAGTAAAAACTGTTTGTGAAAGCTTCAGAAAGCTCGATTTTGTCTTGCAACTTGTTCCCACCCCAGCCGACGCTCACTTGGATAGCGAACTATTTGTTTACAATAGTCCTGGCTCGAATGAAACAAAACCAACATGTCGGAATAATAACGTACAATACGCTCAGCGCCTTTTGAGTGTTCGTAATACGGTGGCGGTGACACGGCCGCTCTGTTTATTCGTTAGGGTTGTCACATCAAAATGTTATACAACTAAACACCGGATTGTCCAAGTTCCAAACATTGTAAACTAATATAAGCTTTTATACACTCGCGAGCAAAACTATGGAATCACTTACATGAAGTTGTTTCCACGCGAACTTGTGTACTAACGAATTTGTTAGTAACAAAAAAAGTGGCACCATTTTAAAGATTAAACTTTTATCTTTAAAATGATACCAAATTCATTGAAATCACACCAGTATTTAAAAAGATATCCCGGCTGATGTGAAGAAGTAACGAAAAAGACATGTATGAACTGTTTGATACGTCGCGAGTTGCGGCCTATTTACCCCCTATAAAAGCACGCGTTTTCGGATTTTTGCTTTCACACGTTGATTCATACACATCTCCGCTTCTTTTGACACTTTACCTGGGATTCTACACCTTCAGAAGCAGCACAAATCGTTGCACTATTGCAAGAAGGGCTCAGCCAGCGGGCTGTCGCACGTCAGCGCCACATAAGCCAGTCCTGGGTTTCGAAAGTTTCAAGACGCTTTCGGGAGACTAGTGGCTTTATCCCGAGACCAAGTTCTGAACAGCGCCGGTGCACATCGCAGAGGGAAGACCGTTTTTTCATGTCAACCTCTCTATGAAATCGTCATTTGACTGGAATCGATGTCCATCAAGAGCTCAGAAATGTTCGTAAGATAGCTGTTAGCGAGTGGACAGTTCGTCTAAGATATAAGCAATAGAATTTGACTCCAAAAAGGCCTGCCACAGGCTCGAAACTGACGGCAGGTCACCGATAAGCACCCTTTCAATTTGCTCGTACACATCTCGATGGGAAGGCGAGTAATGGAGGCGAGTTCTGTTCTCCGATGAATGCAAACTGTGTTTGCAGGGCAGCAGTCGAAGAGGTCGGGTTTATAGGCGGCCTGAGGAGCGATTTGTGCAGTGCTGGTTCGCTGAAACAGTGGCTTATGGGGGTGGCTTGCTCGACTTAACATCGAGATGTGTACGAGCAAATTGAAAGCGTGCTTATCGGTGACCTGCCGTCAGTTTCGAGCCTGTGGCAGGCCTTTTTGGAGTTAAATTCTATTGCTTATGTCTTAGACAAACTGTCTACTCGCTAACAGCTATCCTACGAACATTTCTGAGCTCTTACTGGACGTCGATTCCAGTCAAATGACGATTTCATAGAGAGGTTGACATGAAAAAACGGTCTTCCCTCTGCGATGTGCGCCGGCGCTGTTCAGAACTTGGTCTCGGGATAAAGCCACCAGTCTGCCGAAAGCGTCTTAAAACTTTCGAAACCCAGGACTGGCTTATGTGGCGCTGACGTGCGACAGCCCGCTGGCTGAGCCCTTCTAGCAATAGTGCAACGATTTGTGCTGCTTCTGAAGGTGTAGAATCCCAGTTAAAGTGTCAAAAGAAGCGGAGATGTGTATGAATCAACGTGTGAAAGCAAAAATCCGAAAACGCGTGCTTTTATAGGGGGTAAATAGGCCGCAACTCGCGACGTATCAAACAGTTCATACATGTCTTTTTCGTTACTTCTTCACATCAGCCGGGATATCTTTTTAAATACTGGTGTGATTTAAATGAATTTGGTATCAATTTAAAGATAAAAGTTTAATCTTTAAAATGGTGCCACTTTTTTTGTTCCTAACAAATTCGTTAGTACACAAGATCGCGTGGAAACAACTTCATGTAAGTGATTCCATACTTTTGCTCGCGAGTGTATAAGTTAACAATGTTTGGAACTTGGACAATCTTGACTTCGTTGCCAAGAGTAAGTAATAAACATAAGACGGCTAAGTTGTCATATTAATTTAGTAGATACGAATATTCCTCTCTTTTAATTGTAGTGCCAAACAGTGTGCTTACCATGAGTTTACTTTAGGTGTGCTCGCTATCGACTGCGTAAAATAATGACATTTAAATGTATGACATATTGTACAGCGCCCCTAGTGGCTACTTTCGAGAACTAAAATCTTCGTGGAATTTTTTGACGTACTCGCTAGCAAGCACGCCTAACGTAAACTCATGGTAAGCACACAGGGCCCATATTATCTGTTTAGTTTTAAGCTTTGCTTAAGGGCTTTATGTCTAATGCAAATAAATATCTACTTATTAATAGAGACTGCCAAATTATATCTTCTTTTCTGAAGCGTGTACTGCCAAAGTAGGTTATTTCCTTTAAACTTAAAACTTTGTAATCTCCATGGAGTGTCCACTGCGTAAGAGCAGGACAATTACATGCAAACGAACAATAGAGTGAAAGAGACCACACAATAAACAACAGTGAAATCAAAACACAGTCCGCGGCAACCCTTAGAGACGAAAATGCGCGGTTTTAATAAACGCCTACCTCACAAACCGAGTGTGAGGGATACTCATCTCGGGCTATTATTTCACACGTAAAACACGGCGTGGAGCCGTGGAATAAAGTGGAAAACTG